AATCAGAGAAAAAAAAATATATTCAAAATCGAGAAAAATGACAAAATAGAATAAAAAACGCTAGTTTCCATGGAAGAACAGTTTTCCGTTTCTTGCTCAAAAACTAAGAGTTATGCTTAAATGCAGTTCAACTGAAGTTAAGTGAATGATGCTTTCTCTCCCTTGGATAGAGAGCGGCTGGAACCTATAGAAAAGTGCTTTTCACATACTGGTAACACATTTTAATCGTATTGTAGCATATGTCCGTCAGCTAAGCCATAAATGCCGACTTTGGACACTTTAGAGTGTCGAATAGTCGTTTTACAGTTAAAAGTCCATATCAACTCTAGTACATAGCAGTCTAATTCTTTTCCACTCGCTATATACACTACGTGAAAAAGCGAAGTTTTGAACACTAGATATATAAAATGGTAAGTTAGTAATGTATAATGTTATCTAGAAAATGCTGAAAGGTGCCTGTCTCTGTTAAAAATGTCTTATAATCAAATCGCCACATTTTTAGATTTTGGAATGAATATCGGTAATGACAGCATCCATCTTAGACCCTGTGATAAGCGTACATTGGTTTTCTATCCAGATTTAAGTATCTATTTTTCGAGAATTTTAGACTACGGTGTTATTATTACTCAAAGATTTGCGCGAGTGGAAGCAGCTAAACGACAAATTCAACTTTCTACAATTCAACTTTTTTCTCGCTTGAAGCGAACAGAAACAAGCACATTTTATCTTTGTAGGTCAAACCTACAAAAATAATCTGTGTTGTCCTGCTTTTTATTTTGTAGACCGAGTGAAGTTGCGTAATACAATATGTTAAACGTGTATGTATATATATAGTGGCAGAGAAACATTCTCACATGAAACTACTATAGCTATAAGAGAGAGAGAGACAATACACAATGAGCTGATCGTACATGTCTTATTTTGTGCCTATCTAGTGCTGTCGCAGAATTAGTAGTACATGTGTATATAAGACAGGACTTTTTGTCTTATGGTAAGTTAGCTGATCTGAACCAGCTAAATGACAAATTCCACTTTTTGCTTCATAAGAGAACAGAAACAAGCACATTTTATCTTTGTAGGTGAATTCTATTCTACTCTTATAGAGCAGAATGTTGAATTTGTCGTTTAGCTGCTTCAGATTGTCTAACTTTGGTGCAATGATTATATCCACAGCCATATGTTCGTTAATTGCATCGTTTTTTATGTTCCTCGCCTACTGATGAGACTGGCCACTTCGCTGTTTTATTACGAATTTGGACAAATGTTTTATCGGTATGCAGAATTTTTCATAACAGTATTCAGTAATGGTTTCGAAAAGCTAATATAACGTCACAGCAGTTTATTAGCATACTAAAAACTATATAAGGAAAAAGTTGAAAGCGATAAAATTTTCAAATTTGTTAAAAAGAGCTTAATTTAGAGCAGATGTCCGTCGATCCATTTTACTTGTTCGGAAGATCAAATAACATCAAAGGACTACGTGAGAAGTGAGTGTAGCGGGAGTGCAGCTTTTGATAATACAGGAAGAGTTTCACCCTTTTCGTCCTTTTTATTTCTCGAAATTTAAAAATCAGTCAGTAAAACTGAGTTTTAAAAGCGAGATTTGAACGTTATTCGAATAGTGATGCTAAATAGCGATTATTGTCCTGTGAGCATTCATGAAGCATAGCTTAAGACCAGCGGTTGTCGCCATTTGACGGCTAAAAACTTCTGGTTGCTAACTGAGGCAAAAATAAAGATCGAAACTTTCTTTTAAGGCTTTCTCAAAATGCTCAAAAAGTTGAAGTTTTGCAGAGTAATATTGTCAGAATCTATACATTTCATAATGCCACGTGACAGTCACAAGTCTTCCACACATGAACGAAAACAGCAGTTGGTCATTTATCAGTTTTATTTATGCATATTGCAAAGTCCAGCTAAGCAAACTACGAAAACTAAAGATGAACTTGTACGAGTCGTGCATTACGTATGAGAATAACTGTAGCTTATAAGTTTTGTCATAATAAAATAACCGTCCAAAAGTATTGACCCTGATGAATGCCTAGGTCAAACTAGATCAACAAAAATCATTTCACAAGAAAAGAGCAAGTGTCCGAATTATGGGAAAATTGCCCACTACGAATCTTTTTACCGAACTTCGATATCTATCTCCAATGTGTCAAAAAAAACAAGTTTTTCCGTACAAGATTGCTTTCGTGTTTTTCCATAGTGTTAGTTTAGAATACTGTAATGGAACATTTTTCTGCTTTTATCCTGAAAGAATACAAGCTTAAACTACAAGTTTTTCTGAACTAAAAATCGCAAGACTAAAGTAGCTGAAAGCCTTCAGTAGTTTTGAAGAGCTAGTATAGGATCAGAGCGATTTACTAGGGTACTAAAACTAAAGCTTTGAACGATCGTTTAAGCTGGTAATCCACAGTATCTCCCTAGAGAAAAAAATTTTGTGAAATCTTATAAAAATCTTACTCAATTCTTATGTAAGATCTTCCACGAAAGTGACAAGAATTCTGCTAAATCTTATCAAAATTTCACAAGAATTCATAAGAAATTGGTAAGAATCAGCAAAACTCGTAGGTTATTTTTATCAGATTCTTATGAAAAATATGATCGACTCTTCTAGAAAAAATTTTAGTACAGTACTAAAAATAGGCCGGCACTACCAGTGCGCAAGGCACGCTATGTTGCACCGGTACGCACTAGTTCCACATTTTTTCAGTCACCGTTTTGTTAGCTACGGTTGATTCCACTATGTTTTACTCGGACCTTTCTTCGAGAACATAGTGCAATAAAATTTTAATGCGTTCGCCGAGCAGACAATCCTTTTGTCTTCTCATAATCTCTATCGGAAAAGGAAAAGTCAGTGTGGATAGCAAATCAGATCATAAATTCAGAAGTACACACAAAAACCATCTCTCTGTTCTCTTATCTAAACACGTCCGATTTTCGCTAGCCACAATGTTGAACTATCGGATTTTTGGACAAGTTTTTCTTCTGAGAAACATTTTTTGATCAACTAGGCGCGTATATGCCATACACAATCGTCATTCTTTAAGACTGCATATATTAAGACTGTTATCTTTTTCGTAAATCTCGATTTTCTCAGCCATTTTTCAAGCGATAAAAGCGAAATTCCGGGATAGAGGAGACAATTCTCTATCCCACTATGTAAACATTTTTCAAAACTAATTTAGTTTGCCTTAATTACAATGATAAAAAGATACATGGCGTTTTTACCTGTCGTCGAAAAAAAAGTTGTAACTACTACCCGAAGTAAAAAATTAGGGTATGATCTTGTAACAAAAAATGTTCTTCTAACTAAGGGCTACCCGTACAAATAAAGTGAGACTAAACAGATGGATTTTACTATCAAAAAAGCATACTATAACTTTCCGCTTATTTTCGCATAGCAAAATTAACTGTTACTATAGTTTTATGAAATTTGATTTGCTCACAAATTTTGCGAAATAAACTATTCTGAGATAAAGTTTGATACTGTATTAGCGTGTATCGATTTATGATTGAATAAATCGTGCATAAAACAAGCACGTGACATCAAGCATATGAAAACTACCTACTTTTTTCACGCATCGATTCAAGCAGCGGGAGTGCGATATTCGGATTCAGCATGTCGAGAAACCTTTTTCACCTATGTTTCATCTTGAAGGCAGACAAAAAAGTTCCCGTCGAAATTTTTGCCTGAGGTCCCTCTCAGGTGTTTTGCCTAAAATTTAGGACGAAAACTTTTTTTTTCGAAACGCGTTGAATTATATACCATTCGATGCAGTTTTTTTCGTTGATTCCGAATATCACATTGGTTTTGAATAAAAATGCTTCTGAACATTTGAAAATTAGGTTTTTCAGTTTTTCGTGTTCCATATATATATATATATATATATGCGTGTATTTCACTAAGGAGGAGAGAACAGAAAAAAGGTTTTTTTCTATTTTTTCTCTCTTTTCTTCTCTATACACGCGTGTCTTCATTTTCTACAACATCTTTGATGTACTTACTTTTCATAGCACTGACATTTGTTTTCTTTGAAAATAAACATGAGAATAACTTCAAAGCACAATTAGACAGATCAAGTGCTGTCTAGGGGTTATAGTATCGAATCGAATAGCGAAGATTTTGCCTTTTGAACTGTAAATTTTTAGATAAATAATTTCTAAAGCCGAAGGAAGTATTTCTCTTATTACTGACAAGCTAAAAACAAGAATACTCACGTGTGAAAGTTCATCCGATTGAATGAAACAAAAGATTTAACGACTGATTATACTGTTATGCCTTGAACGTTCAGCACTTTTTCAATGTTATATGAAGCTTTGGAAGAAAATATTCTGAGAACATCAGAGTTTTTCAATCATTTTGTGCTCAGGTTAAGGTCATTTTGTAATTTGCTCATTCCCTTATTACACCTTCCAATTGTTTTCAAAGGTACCATTCTGATTAAGACCTTAAATTTTCTGCATTTTTTGTAGCTGATATACTTTTATTACAAAGATGCAGTTCCAATCGAATAATAAATTCCAGTTTCATGCGATACATAGATGATAAATCTGAAAATAAATGACATTTTATAGAAGATTAGCTAATGTAAGAGTAAATAAGGAAAGCGAAAGAACAATAATAAAGAATAACGACAATCGTTTCGAGCCATTAAACCAGTCATGAGGTATCCGATTGCGATCAAAACCTGCTTGAAGTCGAACAGTTCAGGTAGAGTCAAAGAACTAGAAAAATTCTTCCTGTTTGTTCTTTGCTTATCTTTTCTATGTTTTAATTTCCTCTCTAGAGATAGTGTTTATACTACGCTATATATATATTATGTATTATGTTTTATAGAGTTATAAAACTAATAATAAAAACACTCATACAAAAAACTGTTTCGAAATCGTAAAATAACTTGTGCACAATATATATATATATATATATTAGTAAAAGTACAAGACGTAAAATGTTAAATAAATAAGTTGGCAAATTAGTCCTAAATTCTAAGTCTTTATAATTCGATATCGTATTTGTCATGTTTATTCGGATATTTTTTCGTTCGTAAATATCGCGAGGTTTGAACTTTTTTAAAAGCTTTTCTACGACGGACTTTCATTCTCTGCCGTCTACTGCAATGACAATAAATAAGAATGAAAGCTAAAAATATGGCTATTATAAATGATAAAACAGGTATAAAGCGTCTGATAAGTCGTGGTACATAAAACTTTTTTAATGGATCTGAATCGTCCAAAAATGTTTTAACATCTTCAACAAAGAACATTCTTTCTTTTAAGTATGATGCTTCACCCACTTTTCCGACTTCTGTGTTGGTTAAATTAAGCGTACTATTATTAAACGATTTACTTTCACCTTTTATCGCCATACGAATATCGATTGGCTTGCAAAAGCCATGCATTTTCAAATAAGAACAAAAAACTGTTGAGTAACATGGAATTTCTAATAATGCTACTCGCGAAATAACTACTGACTCATTCTTGAAAAATTTAGCATTATTACTGTCCTCTTCTCGATGAGTGTTTATGTAAGTGCAGTTCATTGTGTCATTTGATGAAATAGCCCATAATGCTTCTGCTATGCATTTTGCTGACACTGTTTCAACTAATGCCCGATCAAATTGACATCCAGTACTAAAATTATCTGTCAATAGTTGAACAAGACAAGACGAATGAAACATACTAGAAACCAATGGAATCCCTTTACAAAGTACTTCTTTATCGAATAAACATAATTTTTCTTCCTCCGATGACCATTCAATTATTGCTTGATTTTGGCTGTTAAGCCCGAAAAAACGTGGTAAACCGTTTATCTGATACAGGTAACCGTTTGTGACAGACGGCAACGTGTATAATTCATAGACATCAAAAGTATTTGATGGAGAATAAATCGGCAGTTGAAAACCATTAGTAATAATCAGATTTCCGATAAAGTCATGTTCAGAAATATTTTGAAAGTGATCATTGTTCAGACAAACAAAATGAATATTTTGTGTAATAAGTGTTCGTTTTAGGAACTCTTGTTCATATAATCTGTTAAAAACAATTGTTTTACCAGAAATCGTGTGCAATAATTCAAAAACGAGGTGCTGTTCATGAATAGAAAAATAATTAAAATTCAATTTTCCGTCTACAATGTCGCTTAGAGTTTCATGAAGGTAACGAAGTTTTGCTTGTGTTTGTAATAATTTAATACGTTCGGCTACATACATTAACGGTAAACTGTCCGGTTTCATAAATTTATCTACTTGACGATTATTATCCGTTAATCGTCCCAAATACATTTGTGTTTTGTTCAATACCTGAATAGTTTTTACTTGATTATCATCGATAACAAATAAATGACTACTATTTCCTTGAAATAAAAGATTTTTCAATGTCGAAAGATCATTCTTAAATTGATCAAATTGAATGAAGTCATTTAATGATGAACTCGCCAATAATATTGGGTTACTATTTTCATTTTTATACATATTGATAATATTTCCCAATATTTGTGATAGTTGAAAATACATATATTTTGTAATAGGAAACGACGCATAAACAGCAAAACTACTCTTGTATGAACTGTACAGACCCACTTTACGAACAATAAAACTGTTATTAGGATAAACAACAATATCACCTTGAGCTATCTTAATTGAAATCTTACCAGTACAAGTACAAGTGAAGAATAATGCAAAAATGCCAATAAATACGGGCGATAGAGCCATGATATAGTCGCTGTGTTAACAATTGATGAAAGATTTATGTATGGAAACTTCAGTTATGTGTGGAGAAAAATGACTATCGAACATGTTAAATACATATATGTACGTATTATTCAGTAACTATATTTTAGAAAATTAATTTCCATCGCTAATCCATATTTGGTTATTAAAATTCATTTCTATCTCAGAAGAAAAATATACAGTTTGTGAATATACTTTTATTATTTCCTATGAGATGTATTACAGAATACTAAACAAACTGTTCATATGTAGAATGTCATCCTTCTTTATGTAATACTGTCACTCAGATGCATTTTACGTAAGATTTTTTAGATGAAGATTAGTAGTGTTGAATAACAGTCTAGCTTAAACACGTTACAAAAAAGTCGTTTTAATCATACAGTAAACGGATGAATGTCGAATATTCATTCATCTGAATACATAGCTTTTCCCCCAAGGGCGATCAAACTGATTTGAGGATTTTAAAGATTTGGAGGATTTCAAAAGATTTGGAGAGATTTTGAAATCTTTGAAATCTACAAATCAGTTTTGTCCCCTCGGGAGACAAGGGGGAAAAAACTGATTTGAAGATTTGAAAGATTTGAATTGATTTGAATTGATTTTGATTGATTTAAATCAGTGTTTTCCCCCTTGTTTTCCCCTCTACGTAAAGAAACAATGATGACTTTTTAAACTAAGTTTTTTCGTGAATAAAAGCTTCCAATGGTTTCTGACATTATAAACAAATGCGCCTTATGTTCCGATACAAACAACAGCAATGATTCACTTTGCGATCAATGCAATACATTAACACGTAACCAATTTTTTCGACTGTGTTTAAATAAACTTAACCAAGCAAAAGGTCAAACCAGTCTTATCAAAGACGTATGTCAGACATTGTTACCATCGTTCGACAAATTTAATCTCGATTTTCAACCTCTACAGTACTTTATCAATGATGTGCATGTTCTCGATACCGATGCACAGCAATATCTTCTCTACTGTCATGACAATGATGACGAACGAGGCCCACTACTATTTTCACACGTTCGTCACAGATTACTGTGTGTATATGTAACCGGGAATGGTAACTGTTTCTACAACGCAGTAGCGTTAATAGCTGGAAAACATCATGATTTCGTTTACGAACTGCGCGTCCACTGTCTAATAGAACTAGCTGTTAACGCTGAATTCTATATGACACATTACAATTGGTTACAGTTACGAGACAAAGAAGATACGTCGTTATTGAACTATTTGGCCAATGAGATGATCAATGATAAATGCTGGGCTGACGCATGGGATATTTTTGCATTATCAGCTGTATTAAACTGTAACTTGAGAATAGTATTTCCATTTGTTAATGGCGAGAACGATCCACAAGCTACTTTGATGAACAGAGTCTTCTACCCACGTTCATTAAACGACACTCCGACAAATGATACAATCAGACTACTTTGGAGTAATTGTACTCTACGAGTTGAAGATTTAGAAGACACGTTTTGGACACCAAATCACTTTGTACCAATTCTTCAATCAGTTTCGGTAAGAGCAAAAATCAAAGAAAAGCATTCACTGTCTATCGCGCATCACTTAGATTACTGATTACGATCTCAACATGCATTTTATTTTTAGAATATTGCAACAACCTCAACCATGTTTTTAAGTAGAAAAGTAAGATTGCTTCTATTAGCGACATTGGCACACAACTTGGTGTTAACAAGCTGTCCTTTTTACATCGTTTAGAGTAGTTTAGCTGATGAAACAGAAGAAATGGAAGCTGACAGTGAGAAAGGTGTTGATTCAGACATTGAAGATATATCAGCACAAATTGTACGCATCTATTGGGATTAATTAATTTTATTAGCACTTACATAACTATTATGTTATCATTTAGGACACACGTACTGAAGATTCCTTCGACGAGATTAATATCATGTTACCAAAAGTCACTAAACTGCTAAAGGTAACAAAACTAATACTTATTTGATATCCGGTTTAAATAAATTCTATGTCTGTCTTGTTTTTCACAGAAGACTAAAGTAGCAAAGTGCAAAGATGCTGCTAAAGCAACAAAGGTAAGAGCCGATGAAAGACGAGATATTGTAATCAATCACAATTTTTCTAGAATGCGAATGAGTCTGAGAGAAGTTTTGCTGTGACTATGTTTAGAGCAGTTCAGGAAATAATCGGCTCGACGAAGCAGATAATGTTTTCTACTAAGAATATGTAATTGTTTGCCCATCCAAAGATATGTCAGAACATCAAGACATCAATCTATTTTATCTGCTCAATTTTTAGCAGATAGTCTAAAATAGTCTATTCCATGTAGAATTTCATTGTTTATCGAATGAAGGGATTTTCAATATCTGTTGCGTTTGAAGAAATCTTAGAAAAAGCTGAAAATCTTACTATCTGTCGGTGATTGTGAAAATGCTTTGAACTATTTTTAATCTTGTATTTAGTAATGTCACATTTTTTTAAGAATTTTCAATGAATAAAGACAAAAAGAACTTCTTTAAATTCGTTTGATCTTTCCAACATTCAACATCCAACATTAAACGATCCAACAATATATTGGCAAGACAGTCAGACAAGCAAGAAGAAGATTTTCAGAACATGGAGCTCCAAAATACATCATACCGTCTTTTCAGTCTTATTTGTCGACAACAACAGCATCGTGTCATCTTCGACGTTCGAAGCGAAATATAGGAATAACAGTTAATTACAGTGAGAATACTATGCTGTCAGATGTTGCAGAGGAACAGAAAGTTCCAGATTCAAGTGTAAAAACCCGTTCGGCGCTATTAAAACATGAATCAGACACGGGGCATTCGATCGATTGGACATCTTGGAGAATTCTAGCCAAAGACAGTTCAAGCTACCATTTATTAATACGGGAATCTTTGGCAATATTAGACAAACAACCAGAACTAACTCGAACGGTATGCAGTGTGTATTAGTGATTTTTCCAGATGGTTTACAAAGGATCAAACCCACAGTTAAATTAAAACAGTGACATTAAATAAGACCGGATTGGAGGGGATCCAGTTGATTTAGCGCTAAATCAACTGTGTAAGTGTATGATAAAGGTATTTGTCGTTTTCTGATACGTGAAAGAACGAACAAATGTATAACATTTACTTTTATTTCTTCTCTCTTTTAAATTTGTTTTACTTTTCAAATTCATTGTAACATCTTTTTGTCTTGAAAATGAACTGTGTACAGTTCGAAACGTTAACTGTATTATAAATAATGAAGATTACATTCAAAGCTGCTGTAAATCTCTTAATATTTATTTCAGCAGTAGTAAATTCAGTTGACGTGAGCAAGTGATTCTTGTACTACATATTTGTGTCATATTGTACCCAAGTTGTTTTCCTTGTTTTAACTAAATTAAACGTTATTGAGTCGAAAATTCCAGTTTCAAATCAATGCTCTCATATTTCCAACTCGAACCCGGTGACAGCGATTAGATATCAGACGCTATTTTTCAGATTCAGTCTTTTACGGAGAGCAAGAATACGAAGCTTCTAAGATTCCCAAATACATCGTGCTCGAGTTTTACGTTCGTTTTTAAAAATTAAGCTGTTTTTTAAAATTTTCGACATTAAAATTTTGATCCGGAAGATTAAAACACATATACTCTTGTTCAGCTCGCCGAGCTCTATCAAACCATGTATAAAAGTCACAAAAATAAAAGCCGTGGAAGTTTTGAATTTCCTCAACATTACAATGGCGCTGCAATCCCCTTACAATCTAAGTCGGAGCAAGATGCTACGAGAAAAAAAGAGATAGAATTTGGAACAAAGTAGCTAAACCCCCTTTAGGATTTGGTGCATCTGTCTTTATTCAGTCGAGTCTAACAATAGCAAAGCCTGGAAAGTTTATCTCAGTGTCATCACCATCACTAGTCAGAAATGTCGCGTGTAAAGATACAATAGAAGAAGAATTTTGAGACAAACAGAATTTTAGACTGTCCAGATTACCACGCTAGCCTTCGATATTGTAACAAATAATGTTTAAAGGTACATAATCAGAAGCAGGAAAAGTAGAAGATAGGGAATAGCTACATACTTTTTTGCTAAACCCATTTTCTCAAGTAGTCATCTATCCCACGGGTCAGTTCTTTTGTATCACATGAATTTAAATGTATACCATCACGTAACGGTATATTTTCATCAAAAGCAACGTTAATTACATCAATACATCAATATCATCATATAACGCCAACAACCGACTGTTATATTCGTCGTTATCAGCTCTAACCTGATCAATTGATGATTTCAAACCCAGAATACCTAAAAGTGGCAATGTCGTAAGAATTAATTTTGTATCCGGATATGCTTCTTTAAATTGACGAATTAAATTTGCTGTTTTATCTAATGCCACATCTGGATTGTATCAATACTCATTATTAAACCTTGTGATTCATATCTACTTGAAGATTAAATAACCTACCATTTAACATACAGTTTCCTTGCCAACTATTATCGGATAAATACTGCCATCTGTTGTGAGGGTACTAGTAACCGATGAATCAATATCATCCAAAGCTTTTAAAAGTGAACTAATAAGTAAGTACAAATCACCCTTTGATAATGTTTTCAAATCAGCATTGGGCTTGTTAATTGAATTTAAAAATATTGAAAATATCAGTTGTGGCTTACCATGATAAAGGATAACTAAATCATTATGATAAGCAAACAACCAGCCAATAAAGCATCGATGGTAAAAAATGGATAAACTTTTACTTATTTTGAGTAATATAATTGAATACTAATCATAATTGCACAGATAAACAAATATATATCCCAAAGAGGGTACAGGACGATATAGCAACGAAAATTGATCACATAGCGTCAAAAATATTACAAACGAACACCGAACTGGCGCTTCAAAAAGAAAAATAAAGCTAATAGCACTGAGGAGAAAATATGGCGTTACGATCAAAACATAATGAAGTCACTACTCTGTCCGCGAGAGCATACAAATGATTTCTACACAAGTAATTGTAGCGTTTCTTAGTATCAGTCTTGCTTGTTTCTCTCGGATTTAATATAATTGATATTTTATATCTGCTCTATTTTGAACTGAACTGAAGTAACAGCAGTGCTTGATACAAGCTTAGATGGATATTCTTTTTGTCTTTCTGTTCGTTCGCACGATAAAATAGAAAAAGAGCAAATGGAAAGAAAAACATATATATTCAGAACGAAAAAACAGAGAGAAAAAAGACACCCAAAAACAGACGCCGGATTCGGAATCTAAAACCGATCAGAATATGTATACTGTTTCCTTCGAAACCGAACGAAAAATAGTTTGCCTGATTATGAACTAGAAAACACAAGCGAATTTTCTTGTGTTTTGCTATCTGTTTCAAAAGCATTTATTTTCTCAACAATGGAATAATATTGTCCAAAAGCGTTTTTCCTACCAACGTAACGTTTTTCCTGCTATTATGGCAAGTAGAATGATATAAAAACATTGGCTTCATCTCGTGTCTAGAAAGACTTGAAGCCTTTTGCGCCAACATGAACGGAATTTTGGCTACTGCTGAAAAACTAAACTTTTTTAGGTCATATCATACTTGAACAGTGTCGAAACGCTATTTTTCAGATTTGGTTTTTTATGGAGAACAAGAATAGAAAGCTTCCAGGGTTCCCAAGCACATTGTGTTCGACTTTTATATTCGCTTTTAAAAAAATAAGCCATTTTCTAAATTTTAAAACATTTTCAGTTTTTTTAAATTTTCGACATTTAGTTTTGATTTGAAAGGTTAAAACACACATATTCTTGTTTAACTCAACGAGCTCTATCAAACCATGTATAAATATAGCAAAAAATAAATCTTGCTTAAGTTTTTAATTACCGGCACCTTACCTCAATATTAAAGTTTTTTGAAAAACATTATTATACAGAAATAATTTTTGCTACATATAACAATACACAACTAAACGGCCTAAAATCGTAGCTAACTATACGCCACTCTGCACGCATTTTATTATAAACAATTAATGTTCACGATAGTTCTTCTAGTCAGAATTATTATAGTGTTCCATGTATTCGCAAGAAGCCTGTCTTTTCAAGTAACTCTGATGTTGGCATCCATGATAAATAATCTGTCTGTCCACGCTTTCGTCCTTAAGCCTATTGTGCATATTTTCAGCCATTCGAATCAATGTCCGAATCATTCCCTTCTCGTCGTCAGAGCTCTCAGCATCTTTGAGCAGCGCAATTTGTTGAGTGACCAGATCAACGGCTTCTTTAGTCTTGCCTTCTTTCACCAATTGTGCGGTTTTTGAATCCATGTCGGCAGCCATTTGAATAGTATGCATGCACTTCACACGAGGATCGATCTTTGTTACGAGCGACTCATCTTCCACAAACCTGAGCAAGAGTGTGCCTTTTATCACTATCGCTTCACCATTGGGTTCATGTGGTCGATTATATCTCAGCTCATACGCGAGAGTCTCAACTTCTGCTTCACTAGGCTTCGCTGTTCCAGCAGTCGTAAATTCACAAAGAATCGATCGCATGTTATTATTATGAAGATCTCCAAGACTCGCACCAGCGATAATATTCTCATGACCCCAGATCTTTGTGACAACAGCACCATTTTGACCGCGAACAATAAGACGAGCTTGTGATCCACATACAGCAAACACACTCATAAGAGCCTTCGTTACTAGTGATTCAATTACTTGAGCTGATTCAAGAAAGAAAAATTTAGCTCCACCAGAGTCAGCAATACCCTTCATAATCTCGGCATCGAAATCAGCACCAATCCCAAATGAATCAGTTATGATTCCTTTTTTATTGTATCCAGCAACCAGGTTTGTGAGTTCGCCTCTTGTTTTCAGTCCAATATTAGCGTGTCCATCAGAAAAGACGAACATCCGACGTGAGAATCCATGATATGTGTATTTCTCAAGTAAATTAGCACCTACATCGATACCACCTGAAATGTTTGTAGAGCCACCAGTCTCGATCTTGTCTATAACAGGATGAAGAGCTTGACGAGCAGATGCACGTGCATTTTCAAAAATGATAGACGCTTCACTATCATATGCGACAAGATGAACAACATCATCGTCATGGAGCAGATTAAGTACAGAGCTGATGGCCCTTTTTGCGAATATGATTTTCTGATTGTGTCTCATCGAACCACTACGATCGAGAATGAGTACTAGATTGATTGGTGCTCTTTTTGTTGTCTCTCCTATGCTGTTGGTTTCAATATCAAAACGTGCTCTTTTGACGTTCAACACCCCAGAAATGGCATTTCGATTATCTGGAATGCATTGAATTTCTACTGTAGCCAGTTCATTCTGGGCGCTCATTTTGATCCTCTTATATTAACACTTTTGCCGATAAGCGATACTTAAAATAAAAAAAAAAGTGAAAGATAAAGATGGAGGATTGCTGGTGACACACTGTGAAAAAGAATAAATGATACACTAAAAGTGAACGCCCTGCAAATCCTAATGACCGCCTAGAATGTAAGGTGTAGGTGTGTAAAAATACATACTGACAAGTGACCATATAGCTTTCCACATCGAGACCAATGATGCAGTCTGGTTGTGTAAACCGTCTGTGATGGAAATGCTTCAGATTCATTGATCGATCGTGCGAATCTCTCATATATATAGTTTCTTTTTTACTTATCCGTTTTGCCTCAAAAAAGTACATATACTTTCGAAGACGCTGGTCACCATTTTGAAATTATTTTTTCGTTTATGCAGCAACTAGCGAGAAAAATGGAAAATACTAAAACTGTTCAACACACTTAGCTTTTTACACACTGAGATTGACCGCTTAAAAAAAGTACACACTTTTTGGTGGTGAGTGAACATTTAAGTCATTTTACAAGCCTAGTAACACAAATTTCTCTTGCAGTGTAGACGCTTATTTCGCGAAGTATCATTTTGTCCTGCTTTACTTTCTGAGCAAACACATGAACTCCTGGTTTCCTGATGACATTTAAACTCTATTTATTTGAAAGAAGATAATGTAACACTATTTGATGTGAAGGACTGCAGCAGACTCAGTTGATTTTTGGTTAACGAAGATGTCTTGCGTAAATGTCTTTCTAAGCTCACGTTCTGATGGACAGTAGATCTTCTCTAAAATCTTGATGAGTTCATCTAGCTGGTGAGTGAAATGGAGCAGGCAAGTTAGAAATGTTGTCTGACTTACTATGAAATTAACTGAAGAGTTGATGGTTTGCTGAAACGCTAAATAATGGATGAAATATCTTTTGGTAATATAAATGATTTAGGGGTATGCAGATCAAGAAATATTGTACACTTTTTATACGTTGAGTAAGAAAAAAATATAGAAGTGCAGCAGTAGATGATTGTTTCATGCGTCATGTAATGTCACAATCAATGCGTGTATGAAACTGAAATACATATTTTTCACAACTTATGGCAATGTGAATAAATAAAAGCATTTCGATGACTAACATACACGTGTTTATAAGTCATATCATACTTGAACAGTGTCGAAACGCTATTTTTCAGATTCGGTTTTTTATGGAGCACAAGAATAGAAACCTACCAAGGTTCCCCACTACATTGTGTTCGACTTTTATATGCGCTTTTAAAAAATAAGCCATTTTCAGTCGAATTAAACAAGCATATGTGTGTTTTAATCTGTTTGGGAACCCTGGAAGCTTTCTATTCTTGTTCTCCATAAAAAGCCGAATCTGAAAAATAGCGTTTCGACACAGTTCAAGTATGATATGACCGAAAAACGTTTAGCTTTTTGATATTTCCGACATTAAGTTTTGATTTGAAAGGTTAAAACACACATATTCTTGTTTAATTCGACTTATTTTTTAAAAGCGCATATAAAAGTCGAACATAATGTGGTGGGGTACCCTGGAAGCTTTCTATTCTTGTTCTCCATAAAAAGCCGAATCTGAAAAATAGCGTTTCGACACTGTTCAAGTATGATTTGACTTAAAAACACGTATGTTTTAGATTCCGAATCCGGTGTCTGTTTTTGGGTGTCTAGTCTAGTTTTCGAAAAATAGACGAAAAACTGGTTTTACGTTGAAACTATCGCCTTTTATTACTTTCTCTCTGTTTTTTCGTTCTGAATATA